CCCCCCTCCGTCCTCCCTTCCACCGCGCCCGGTCTTGGCTCGAGCTCACATCATTGGTGCAGAGGGAAAACATGCTTCGCTTGCCTGGCTTGTTCCTCCGGTCTCAGCCGCTTCGGGCACTCGAGCGCTCGACCTTCGTTGGCCTTGTGGCGCGCAGCAAGGACGAGCCCCGGGCTGTCCCAGCGCGCGCGTACGGCACCGGACGCCGCCGACATGGACGCGCTCCGTCCGGCAGCGCGGCCACCGCCACGGCCTTCGGCCACTTTGAATCGGAGCCGGATGCCCAGCTGTCGCCCTTCGATGAGTCGGTCCCTCCGCCGGTGTCCCCGTTCTTCGGGATGGGCCAGCCGCAGGTCACACATGGCCGGCGCCGAGCGGGCGCCCACGCCACTCCCAGCGTTCCGCCGGGCACCACCTTCTCCCAGGTGGCCAGTGTCGGTGAGGACCTCTTCCACCAGTCGATGGAAATCCCCCAGGTGAATGCCCTGCTGAAGCAGGTAAAGCACCCGCTGGTGCAGGAGACCTTCAGCGAGCGCGATCGCATCACCCTCCGTGGGAATGCCCTCGGCTTGCTGGAAGTGGAGGAGGAGCTGCGCCAGGCGCGCGAGATGATGCTGGATTCCGAGGGCCGCAGTCTGCCCGGGCGTGGAGATGCCTTCCATCGCCGGGAGGCGGAGTTCTATTACCAGGACTTGCAGCGGCAAATCCAAATCCCGGCCGAGCGACTGGCGGCCATCGCCGAGACGGTGTCCAGCGAGCTGGAGGAGCTGGAAAAGCAGCGCCTTTCCAAGTGCAACAATGTTCCCCTGCCCATCATGTTCGATGTGCCGCCGAATGCCACCGCCGAGGAGCTTCTCGGCCTGCTGGGGCTCACCCCCCGGAAGGGGGGCGTCGTCCTGCCGACCGAATGCCGGGGCTCCTTCGAGCGCTTTGTCTTCATCCTGGCGGCGCAGATGGAGCGCATCCACTTCCGCGCCAGGCAGCTGGTGAGTCTGGAGCAGCAGGTCCCCGTGGCCGATCGGCCCAAGTTGCACAAGCAACGTGCCGAGCTGGCCACCGCCCTGCGTGAGATGGATGCCCGCATGGCGCCGCAACTGCGCGAGCTCATTCTCGATCGCCAGCGGCGCTTCGAGGCCGGCGAGAATCCGGACCTCGACGAGCCGGAAGAGTTGAGCCCGGAAATGCTCCAGCGCGTGGCCCGTCTCACCCAGATGGAGGGCGATTCGGCCACCATGAATCCCAAGCTGGCCGTCGAGGCCTATCTGTCCCTGCGGGCGGCGGTCGACGCCAAGCGCCTGTCCCTGCCGGCGGCCGAGGCGCGGCTCCTCTTCCCGGAGCTGTCGAAGGCCGAGCGCCTGCGCTTTGCCTATCGGGACTTGATGCGATACAGCCGCACCGATGCCGGCACCCTGCGCCCGGATGAATGCTTCCCCGATCTGTCCACCGAGCAGGGCCAGACCGAGGCCTTCCTGGACAATCTGTACGACGGCTTGCAGATGAACGGCCGCACGGCCCTCAACATGCTCAAGGCCGGTGGCCGCCAGGCGGAGATGGAGATGTCCAAGCTTCAGAACATGACCCCTGCCCAGATCATGCGCGAAACCATGAAGGAGCGCCAGGAGGAGCATCTTGCTCAGTTGGACGAAGTGATGGAGGTCGTCAGCCGGCCGGCGCCCATCAGCCTGAAGAGCATCACCGGCAATCCGGCGGCCGAGGCTGCCACCGCCACCGCCACCGCCGACCAGGAGTCAGACGCGGCCTTCGATTCGGATGACGCCTTTGATCCGGACGCCCAGCCCAGCGTCGGGTCTGGCATCATGAGCAGCCTGACATCGGATCTGCGCGAGGACCGTCCCGGGCCGTCGGCTCGGGTGGAGGATCTCCTGCAGTCGGTGGATGACCTGACTGATGTGGCCCAGCTGGAGCGTGCCATCGAGCGCATGGAGCTGTCCGGTGCCGCGGCCGCCGAGCGGGCCCTGCTGCATGGGCTTCGGGATATCGGCCACCAGGCGGCCTCGGTGCGGGACCTCATCTCGCAGATGGCCGCCATGGATGCCGAAATCCGGGCGAGCAACCTGGACAATGTGTCGGCCCGGAAGATGTTCAGCAACCCGGACAGCCAGGACATGAATGACATCCTTGTTCGGAAGTTGCACCTGGAGCTGCAGCTCAATGTGGCCAAGAAGCGCCTGGACAGCATGGTGACCGATCTGGAGCCGGCCTTGGCGGCCAGTCGGTCGCGCCTGCGTGCCCGGACCGATGCCCTGGTCCCGGCCGAGGGGAGTATCTCCTACAATGAGCAGCTTTTGCGCGATCTGCCGGAGGACCTGCGCCAGGTGGTCCGGCTGCTGGATGACCCGGACTCGAGCCTGGATCAGGTGTTGGCTGTTCTGGGCCAGGTTTCCGGGGATTTGGGCCTCGGCGACCAGGGCGGCATCGATGACACCGACGCCGAGGATGACAACGACGATAATTGGGGCTTTGTGCCGGGGGAGAAGCGTCCCGCTCCGGGTGCCACTGGCGCCCGGGCCTCCGGCGTCAATGCCTCGGCCGCCGGCGGTAGTAGTCCCCCCGCCGAGGGGGCGGATGGGGTCAACTCCGCCGAGCAAATTTCCCTGCATGTGGATGGCTTCAAGGACGGCCAGCCGGAGTACTCGGTGGTCCGGGAGGTGGTCGACCAGAAGACTGGCGCGGTGACCTCGCGCGATGTGGAGCATGTGGGCAGCATGCCGCGCCTGCCGCACACGCCGGTGCTCCTGCCGGATGTCCTGCATTATCTCTTCCCCCATCCGAAGGGCATCTATGTGGATGCCACCTTCGGGGCGGGTGGCTACACCCGGGGGATCCTGGCCGCCACGGGCGGGCAGGCGCGTGTCATCGGCATCGATCGTGACCCGTCTGTCTTTTCGCCTGACATGCACAATCTGGAGCCCGACGCGCCGGTGATCCTGCGTGCTGGGCGTTTCTCCGACCTGAGCATGCACCTGGACACCGTCCTCTCTGGCCAGTATATGGCCGAGTTCATGGGGGATGCGGCGCTGACCGGGGTCGTTGGTGCCGAGAGTGGCCTGGTGGATCCGGTGACTGTGCCGGATGTCCTGCTGGCTGAGAGCCCGCTGTATCCCTTCCCGGCGACCAGCATCGTGACGCGCACTCTGCACGAGCGCCGGTACCCTCCGGTGCTGGAGTCCCTGCTGGGGAGCAGCATGGCGGGGTACCATGCCCCGGCGCCGCCCATGCCTCTGCGTGTTGATGGGATTGTCTTTGATTTGGGCGTGTCGTCCATGCAGTTGGACCAGGCCGAGCGGGGCTTCTCCTTCCGCTCGAACGGTCCCCTGGACATGCGCATGTCGGCTGGTCAGCTCCCGGAGCAGCCGAGCGCCCACTCGGGCATCAGGTCGATGGCCATGCCGCCCCGTTCGGCGGCCGATGTGGTCAATGACCTGCCTGAGGCCATGATCTCTGACATTATCTTCCGCGTACGTCACTGTCCCCCCCGCCCCCGCCCACACAGCGCGCACATTACACCCCCCCCCCCCCCCCCCTCTCTCTCTCTCTCTCTCTCTCTCTCTCGCTCTCTCTCTCTATCTCTCTCTCGCTCTCTCTCTCTATCTCTCTCTCTATCTCTCCCGCTCTCTCTCTCTCTCTCTCTCGCTCTCTCTCTCTCTCTCTCTTCTCTTCTTTTCCTCCCCTCGCCTTCCCTGGTTTATCTCCCTCTCTCTCCCTCTCTCACACACATGCATGCACCCTCTGCTTCTTGGCTGACGCTCCAACGACGAACAAAGTACGGCGAGGAGCGCTACCACCGGCGCATCGCCAAGGCCATCGTCGAGCACCGGACCACCCATGGTGCCATCAAGGACACCTTTACTCTGGCCAACATCGTTCGCGGGGCCTACCCGGCCGATGCCCGGCGCCAGGCCTTTGTCGATCCGGCCACGCGCACCTTCCAGGCCATCCGGATTTTCGTCAACGACGAGGTGCGTCTGTTGCATGGTGACTCTGCTCCTGTGTGAGCATCTTTTCACCCTGTGGTGGGGTGCCGCGCTCCGGGCTGCCTCCTTTCTGGGCGACTGGCCATGCGGTGTATCGACTTGGGATCGGTGAGGGGGGGTTTCTTTCTTTCTCCCCTTTTCATCCTACTGACCGGAGGACAAAAACACCCCCTTCCCCAACATGTCAACATTTTTTTTCTGCGATCCAGCTGCGCGAGCTTCTCCAGGCTCTGATCCATGCCGAGAGCATGCTGGCCCCTGGCGGCCGGCTGGTCGTGGTGTCGTACCACTCGCTGGAGGACCGTGTGGTGAAGGACTTCATCCGGCGCTGCTCGGCCCCACGGTCTGTGTCCACCGACCCCGAGATGGAGATGGCCCAGCCGTCTCTCACCTGCCTGACCAACCGCGTGGTGACCCCGAGCAACGAGGAGGTCATGATGAACCCGCGCTCGCGGTCGGCCAAGTTGCGCGCGGCTGAGCGCACGACCAACGGCCCTGTGGCCGAGCGCCTGTACCGCCAGCTGCAGGAGGCCAACCTCTCGCACTCGTGAAAAGGATGGCGAGCGCCTGCCACGCCGTGTGGCTTTTGTCGAGCACGCCAAAGGGAGGGAGAGATCCCCCCCCCCTTTTTTTCAGCTCTAGCACAAGGGGGGGAAGCACGAGCGGTGCCATCCCCGTCCCAGAAGGATGGGCGAGAGAGGCACCGCATACGTGTCTTTGGAAGAGAGTGAGGGGGGGGGGGGGAAGAACCGCGGCTGGGGTGGCCCTACCATTAGATGCCAACCCTCTGCCACCCCAGCCGAGCCCACGGTCAAATGTCGCCCTCACTCGTCCCCCTCTTCGACCCCCCCCCCCCCCCCATATGCCTGCATGTAGGAGAAGCAGCAAACCTCCACCGTCCTCAGGCGACGCTCATGCTGCCTGGGCAATGGGTCTCACTAATGCATGCGCCAGTCTTGTTTTTGCCTGTGTGTGTATGTGCGTGTGCGCGTCGGTGTCTGCGCGCGGGGGGCGGCCGCCCTCGCCCTCACGCGGTGACTGGGCAGGAAGGTGGGGGATTTCTCAGGCTCTGCAACGAGCCACGCAGAGTGGGCAGGTCGTTTTCGATCGTACGTGCATGTGCGCGCGCACCGCGCTAGGGGGAGAACGGCTGGCACACAGGCAGGCCCGGGGGGCCGGGGGCCGAGAGGCCAGCTCCTTGATCCCCCGCGCCCGGGATCCCCCCCCCCCCCCCCGGTTGCGGTGGGAGTTCGCATAACGGAGGGTTCCTGCCTGGCCAGCCGAAAGAATGGCGCCCGGCTCCGGGCCGGGGGGGGGGGGCCATACGCGCGCCGCCACGGAACCATACGCCACCTCCCAGCCCCCCAGGGTCTGGGCACCGAGGCGGGAGGGCGAGGAGTCTGCCGGACCAGGGCCCCCCCGGGGGCGCGGGGGCGGAACAGGGGCACTCATGCCTTTCTGCCTTGGACCGGGGGCGCTCCTCCTGCGCCTCGGCAGCGAGAAAAAGGCCCGGGGCCAGGGGCGAGCATCGGAACATAGGCCCAAGAGCCTTTCCTGTTCCTTGGCTCAGTCCTCGAGGGAGAGTGAGTGTCCCTCGCCCGTCCGCCCCCCCCCCCCCCCCGCCCCGCGCCCCCGGGGGGAGGCTGGGAGTGACGAATGTCGTTACGCCAGCGCACCCCCGGCCACGGCTGGCTGCGGCCGAACATCTGAGGATGGGGCCAGCGCATCCCGGGAAAGAAGCAATCCCCTTCTGGGCTGGCAATCGCGGGTCGATCATATTCCCCGCTTCTGGGGGCGCGAGTAGGGGGGGGGGGGGGGCTCGCGCCGGGAAGACCCGGGCGGCCGGTTCGGGGAGAATATTCCCCCCACCACATTCGGAAGGCTCCTCGAGAGCGAGGCGCACATAGAAGCCCTCTGGGGCAGCGGGGCCGCCTGGGCCGAAACGCTCGCCCAAGCCAAGATGGGTGCGGGGGGCCCTGCGAGCCATGAGGGGCGCCGCCCCCTGCGGCGGAGTTTCCCGCCCCCGTTCCCTCGGGTGCGTCCGCGCCCCGGCAAGGATGCCGCTATACGGCTCCCCCGCCCCCACTCGAAATCCCCGCTGCATGCGGACACACACACACACACACACACACACACGGAGCCCGCTCGTGGTTGGTAGTCGCTGGGTGCACGCGGGTGTTCCACCTTCACAGCCCCCCCCCCCCCCCAAGCTCCTCCACCGCACCCTCCTCACGCCGCCACTGGCTGGCGCTTTTTCGGGCCCCCTTGCCAGGCACCCCTGGCAACGCTGGGGGCTGGCAGCCCCCTCCCTTCCCCCCTCCCCCTCTTCCCCTCTCCCCGCCCTCTCCTCTCCCCGTCCTCTCCACCACCCTACACAGCGTCAACCATGTTCCGCAGCAAGCCCAAGATGGACATCCGGGATGTCAAGAACATCCAGGAGGGTCTGAAGGGCATCTACAAGAATAAGGTCAAGCCCACCGAGGAGCATTACATGTTCACGGAGTTTCACTCCACGCGTCTGATGGATTCGGACTTCGACGCCAAGCCCATGGTCCTGCTGCTGGGTCAGTATTCCACCGGTAAGACGAGCTTCATCAACTTCCTCATCGAGCGCGAGTTCCCCGGAAGCCACATCGGCCCGGAGCCGACCACCGACAAGTTCATCGCCGTCATGCACAATCGTGAGGACCGCGTGACCCCGGGTAACGGTGCGTGTCCTCATCTCTCCCTCTCTCTCTCTCTCTCTCTCTCGCTCCTCCTAGTGCCCTGGGTTTATGTGTGCTATGCTGTCACATCTTCATTTTCCCCTCGATTCCACGTTGTTCCCCCCCCCTCCTCCTCCCATACTGACGTGCCTGTACATCGCAGCTGTCGCCGTCCAGCCGGACAAGCCCTTCCGCGGGCTGGAGATGTTCGGCGGTGGTTTCCTCAGCAAATTCCAGGCCAGTGAGTGTAACGCCCCCCTGCTGGAGGAGATTACCTTCATTGATACGCCCGGTGTGCAGGCCGGCGAGAAGCAGCGCAGCGGCCGTGGCTACGACTTCACTCAGGTGGCCTCGTGGTTTGCCGAACGCGCGGATCTGATCCTGCTCCTGTTCGACTGCCACAAGCTGGATATCTCGGATGAGTTCAAGAAGACCATCGAGTGTCTGCGGGTACATTGCCACCACATATACACACATGCATACCCCTTCCCTCGCGCTCCTCAGCCCCCTCGCTTTTGCCCGTGCTCCTCCTGCTGGGACAGTGGCACTTCCCTCTGCATCCTGTCCTGACACCATGGTGCCACCACGCCCCTCGCCACCACGCCACCGGAAATGACATCGCCCACCGTGCTGGCACCCAAACAATCAGGGCCATGATGACAAGATTCGCGTCGTCCTCAATAAGTCGGACATGGTCAACACCCAGCAGCTAATGCGTGTGTATGGTGCCCTCATGTGGTCTCTGGGTAAGGTGATTCGCACGCCGGAGGTGGCCCGTGTGTACATCGGCTCCTTCTGGGCCAACCCCCTGCATTACACGGAAAATGCCCCGCTCTTCCAGGCCGAGCAGGCGGATCTCCTGCGTGACCTGCGCAACCTCCCCTCCAATGCCATGATCCGCAAGGTCAATGAGCTGGTCAAGCGCACCCGCCAAGCACGCGTGCACGCCATCATCATCAGCCACCTGCGCAAGCAGATGCCCGCCATGTTTGGCAAGAGCACCAAGCAGGAGGAGCTGCTGGCCGACATGCGCAATGTCTTTGAGGAGATCCAGCGGGCCAACAAGCTCCCGGCCGGCGATTTCCCTGATCCGGAGAAGTTTGTCCAGCTCTGTCGGAACATGGACTTCTCCAAGCACTTCAACAAGTACAATGCCAAGGTACGTATGCGAGTGGCCGGGGCAGCTCACAAGCTCATGCTTAAATTGCCATCATCAGCGGGGGGGAGGGGGGGGGGGGGGGGCCAATCCAGAACTGTCTCTTTGCTTGCCCCTCCTGTCACATTGCGTTTCCCTGACCTTTGCTCGTTCCCTTATTCTTTTTTTCCCCTCTCCCTCTCCCTCTTGCTCACGTTCTTTATCCCTTCTGTAGCTGATCAACAGCCTCACCGAGGTTCTCGATAAGGACCTTCCTGCCCTGATGACTCGCTTCCCGCCGGAGGTTCTCTCCGGGGAGAAGGCCGGCAACTCGGCTGATGTCATCTTGAGCACTGGTGCGTGTTTTTTCTCGGCACAAGCTGCCGCCTTTTCTCTCCAGCCCCTCTCTCTCTCTCTCACACACACACACACACACACACACTAACGCACGCACCAAACACACAATGCTCACGGTGTGCCATCCAACTAGATATGGGCTTTGCCAACCGCATCACCCAGGGCGGCATCAACAACCCGAACCCCCTGGCCCGCGATGCTGTGGTCAGCCCGTCGGCTTCGCGTGGCTCGGCCCTGGCCCTGCCCGCCCCGGCGGCCCCGGCCGACCCGTGGGCTGTCTCGGCCAGCGAGCGGTCCAACTTGATCGCCGAGTTCCATCGGCTCAATCCGCCGAACGGCCTGCTCAGCGGTGGCCAGGCCAAGGAGGTCCTCCTGCGCACCGGGCTCGACAATGAGTCCCTCAAGCGCATTTGGTTCCTCAGTGATGCCGATCAGGACGGTTTCCTCTCGCAGGACGAGTACGTGGCGGCCCTGGTCCTGGCCCGCGGTGTTCGCTCCGGCATGGCCATCCCGCACAGCCTGCCGGCCTCCCTGCAGTCGGGTGGCTCGAGCAACCCCTTCTAAATGCATTGTCGGGGGCCATGCTGGCTCTCGGTCCTTCTCCCTCCTACCCCCCCCCCCAGTCGGGTGGCTCGAGCAACCCCTTCTAAATGCATTGTCGGGGGCCATGCTGGCTCTCGGTCCTTCTCCCTCCTACCCCCCCCCCCTTTTACGCGTTTGCGGCCTCCTCTCTTTGCGCTTCCTTTTCATCACACGGGGCCATGCGTGTGCGCCCACGCCGCAGAAGAGCAGGAGACCCTTAGTAAGGGAGGAGGGAGACTGTACATAGTACCTGGGGCAGTGCGCGGAGGCGAGGGATCACGATCAAAGGGGAGCGATCAAGGGACCGACATGCACGTGTACACACGATAAAACCGGCATGCGGGTCCGGACTTCTTTCCTTCCCTCCCCCTCCCTCTCTTCCTCCTGTCGCATTTGGAAAGCCCATGCCATTCACACCTCCTCCCCCTCCTCCTCCTTCCCCTCCCTACGCCTTTCCTTGTACAAATAAAATCCACAAAATCCGGACACAACTGCTTTGCTCGAACCTTTGGGGAGAGATCATGCGCGAGGAGGGGTAGGGAGAGAGAGAGAGAGAGGGGGGGGGGGAGGGAGGAAGGTAGTCGGGACAAACCAGGCGCGAATGTGGGTGGTAATGTACATTGTGTTGGCGCAGAAGAAAATGCGAAAGCCGACATGGCATATCCCCAGCATTGAGGGAGACTGGGAGACGAGAGGAGGGAATATCGCTCCCGGTCGGGGCGGGGCGCGTCCTGATAGCACATGCACACACACACGCACAGGGAAAGGGGGGCAGGGAGAGAGAGGGGGGGGGGGAGATGAATAACGCCCATCAAGTGGCGATCTTCTCAATGTACTCCGGGGGGAAAACACCGTACTCGCCGCGAGTCTCGCCCTGGGCGTCATGGTGGGAACAAAAAATGGCAGCGGTGTGTGCGTGAGACGGGGGCGTGTGTCGAAAAGAGGTGGTGGGGATTTTCCGCTCGATCGGCGGGCGCGCACCTCCCAGCACTTAGGATCAACGTCGGAAGACTGCTTGAAGACGTAGACCAGCTCGTCTGTGTGCCCCACACAAGGCGCAGAGGGACGCAACAGGCAAGAAAAGGCATTGGGGGTGAATAAACACACATACACACACATGGTGACAGGCCATGCGGCGAGGCTGCCACCGCTGTCGATGTTGTTTGTGCGCTTGCCAGCTGGGGCGAGCCATGCCAGAGGAAAGAGGCGAAAAGGGAATGGCCGCAAGAGACCGGACAGCCGGGCACCTGATGCGACGTACCTTGGAAGAGAGTAAGATACTTGTTGGACTCGGGAATGTAATCGCGCACCACACGGCCAACCATCAGGATCTTGGGGGCCGGAACGGTGGGGACATCGTCATCCCAGTCGCTACCGCTGTCGGAGTGGTTCTGCATGCGGCAAGGAGGGCGGGGGGGACATGTCAGGGCCAATAGGCGGAACTGGTGCGTGCGTGAATGGGCAGGCCGGACGGGATGCAACATACCGGCATGGTGGTGGCGGTGGTGGGGGGGGGGGGAGGGGGGGTAGAACAATCAAGAGGGGGGTGGAGGGAAAAATGCAGACAGGTCTGACTGTGCCCTCACCAGGCCATGCCGGGAACCCTGGCGGAGGCCCCTTTAAGTTCAGGACACCCTGAAGCTCGGCCCGGAGGACAAGGCTCGGACCGTGAGTCTCTCGCGCCGCCGGCCTCCTCCCTTGGGCAGGGTCGAGACGCAGGGAGGCCGTAGGTCCGGACGGGGCCGGGCGAGAAAGAGTGGGGACACCACAGGGGCCGAGGCAGGCACTGGAACTTTGGAAGAGAAAGTGGAGGGGAATTTCGATCAGCGAGGGCTGGCATTCAGTACAGTGATTTGGGCGCATGGCGTGACATATCGGCTGATCTTTGGCCCCGGTTGGGAATGCCCCTCGGTTAAGGGGGGCCGTCCTTGCTTAGCTCTCTTTCTTTACTGGCCCAGCTGTTTGTCATTGCGAATCCTGCGCCGCGGCCCTGCGACAGATTAAGATCTCCGTTCCTCCGCCATTTCTCGCCCGGACCCGCATCTGGTCGAGGATTCTGGCAAGGGTGGGACAAGCACCACTCGTGGGTTGCCACGATCGCGCCCTCCTCCGGCAAGGACACCAAACGCGAAGGATTGCCTCTTGGTGTGTCAATTCATGAATGGGAGCAGCGTGACCGGGAATACATGTCGGGTGCCGCAGTCGACGGTGGGTGACACCACGCACTCGCAACAAAGTCAGGAACTCTCCGCGCAATTGTTGGCGATCGATTTGACCGATATGACTCAAGTTGTGTGGCAGGAAGGAGAGACGGAGGAAGCGAGCGAGCGAGCGGGAAAGAGAGAGAGAGAGAGAGAGAGAGAGAGAGAGAGAGAGAGAGAGAGAGAGAGAGAGAGAGAGAGAGACGGGGAATGAGCGGGCTGTGTTGGAAGATTGCCGTCCGCTCGCTTCACGACCACACACTAAATGATCGGCGTCGTGTGCCTGAAGCGGCAGGCCCCGAGGCATGCACGGCGCAGCAGCCTCGGTCACATCGCCTCGAACATCGCCAATGGGTGCATGCGTGGCAGAGACACAACTAGGAGGAAGGTGATAAAAATACAGTATATTGAAGAGATCTGGGTGGGAGGGGGTGGTGGGGAGGGGGAGGGTGGTGCGACAGGCAGTCGATAGGGCTATTAATAAGCCCCATTCGGTGGCTTTCTCTCGTCCGCCAGGCACAGCCACCTGTGG